AATCTGCTCGTTTACTTCTTAACTTCGTTTACCGTTTTAGACATTAAATTATTTGTTTTCATTACATTATTACCATTATAACATTTATTATGGCCTCATAAAATTATATTTGGATTTTATTATATCATGAAAATTATATTTAATTGCTAAATAATATTACAGTTTAAATGAATATTTCTGTTTAATCGCTATATCAATAGAGAAAATTACTTTTCTATTCTATAATCAGAATTTCATTATATGAATTATTTTATATTAATTTTTTATATATGTTAAAATATTATATTAAGATTTATCAGTTTTTAATATTATATTTTAAACTAGATTTATTATTTGATATAGAGTTTTTACTTCAACAGTAGGGTGTCGTACCATAATTTCATTATAAAAATGATTCCACACATTATATATTTAAATATAATTTATTATTTAGAAATTATAAATTTCGGAATATATAATTTTGTCATATATTTCAAATGTAATTAATAATTAATTTCATTTTGTACTCTGTTCCTTTCCTAATGTTTTAAAAACATTAAATATTAGAAGAAACTATAAGTGAATAACTAGTTTAAATTTACATTTATTTCAAGCTGTATTAAGGCAAGAAATATAATAATTAGTATTGTTAGTAGCTAGTATGAATGTAAAAGATGTATATGCATAATGTTACTTAATTAAGAAATTAACAGAGATTTCTGATTTTAAAGCAACAACTAAAATTCTAATTTAGAAATGGAAATAATGTCTATCGCGTAAAATAAAAGCTACTTTTAATATATAGTAATTTTAAATTTATAATGTGAAGTTATAATATAAATTATATACACTATAAATCAATTACATATTATATATTATTATAATATTAATAGAAAATTATATTATAGTAAATTATATACAAATTAAAAAAATTTTCCATTTCGATATTTCTACTCTTCAAATCATACGCATATTTTAATATCTTACCAATTTTTAATAAATTTTACTGCATTTACTTTGTGTACTAAAATGATTACACGCACACGTACGCACGCGCGTACCCACATTGAAAATATTTGTTTATATATAAATGATAATGTTACTTCAGTTAATTAAAATATATTTTTGAAATTAATAAACTAGATTTTAAGATTATTTAGAAATTAATAACTAGAATTTAAGTATTTTAAATTTTTTACATATTGGATTTATAAAATTGTAAGTAATATATAATTTATTTAATTTTACTTATTACATATCTATATTTATTATATTTATATATATCTAAAATTTGAGACTATTAAAATAATTTTAAAATTTATGACAATGACATTCCATAAATTATTGAATTGTTTACTTGGAATTCAAACATATATTATGTTTACAGAATTATATGTATATATAACATTAAATGTAACAATTGTTATTTTATTATATTTCTTTGGCATAAAATTACAGACATGTATGTATAAAATGAAATAAACTTTACAATAACTATTTTTATAGGTATTGAAATAAAAATAAAATTCATACCATCGTAATCTATTGATCCATCATGTTTAATTGGTGGTGCTGCTGGTATTTTTGTTATAGGACGATTTTCCGTTACACTGCTCTCAACCATGGATATTCTCTCACTTTCCCGTCTTTTCCTACAAATTTTTATCAACACTATCGAGTATCATAATTGCAAAAATTGTCAAACAGTGTCTGTATGATAATATTTATTTAGAAAAGTGATTAAATATAATTTTTAACAAATAATAATTATTGGAATCAATTTAAGTATGTTACTTGAACAATATAATAATTAATTATTTTATTATTGTTCTATATGATAATTTATTTTAATATTTTTTTTTTCATTAGAAATTTCAAAGAACATTATTTTACATTGTTTTTTATTTTTTAATTTTTAATTTGAATTTGATTCTTTATGAAGTTCAATCTTATAAAGGATGCAAAAACTATTCTTACGTTACTGATTGTGAAGGTGTTGGAGAGATCTCATCGGCAGCATCAAAATAATCTTCATCTTCGTCTGAAGACGAGTATGAATATTCTGGTACAGGAAGATTTCTAGCAGTAGCTATAAAATATAGAAAATAAATTTACTAAATTATGCGTGTTTTAATATTAGTTTTAATATAAGCTAAAATTTCGATTCGAAGTACTGAATCCAAAAAATTATGAAATATTCATCATTTTTGTCAAAATAATGAAATAAAATATAAACTTTGAAACGAATTATTTATTACTTATGATTAATTACATTCATTTTGTATTTTGATTAATTTTTTGATACAATCAAGAAATGGACGATCAGTTACATTTCATGTCATGAAATAAATAACTGAAGAACTAAAAATTTTAGAAATATTTGTAATAAAACTTAGAAAAAATAATTTTGAAGCTATATCAATTAGTTTATTAGCTACTAATACACTATATATCATATATAAACTATTTTTATTCTAAGCGATTTTAAAATTTAAAAGTTTAATGTAATTTTAAAAAATTAATTTACATCCTTTATTTTAAGTATTTACTTTTTAAATTTTACCTTTAAATATTTTAATTTATATTATTAAGTAGAAGAAACATATATTTCTGCAATAAAATTTATATTAGATTTAAACAAAATTTGATTTTTAAGGATAAGAGTACTATTAAAATATTCAATTTTTTATTTGCTAAAGCTATAATAGGTTTAGGTAATCTTTAATATATTAATATATGATCTGGGATCTGCAATATTTCCTTGCAAGTTAACTTACCAATCAAACAATAGACATTTGCTATTTCTGAATACAAGCGATCTAGAAATTTTTATCTGTTGTATGCTAATTTTATATATTTGAATTTTTTTATCAATTTTGAATTAAAAAAGTTCTATGTAAACTATGTAAATAAATTTTGTTTACCGTAATTTATAATTTATTTTCGAAGTATATAAGATCTTATAATGTAAAAAATTTCAAAGTTCTGATTAAATTTTTTCAACTGTTTCTTATATTATAAAAAGAAGCCTAATTTTTAATTTTCTTATAGAAATAGCCATTTTCTTTGTATTAAAGATGCTAAAAAATATATTGTCCAAACATATATATGGTAAAAATTATATGTTAATATAAGTAAAATAAATTTGTTTTAATTAATTACACTTCAACTATGCAAAACTATAATTTTAAGTTTTTTCGTTCTTGAAAAGCTATGAGAACCAACTGCGTTTGTGTAATTGAATCGTAAGATATTTAAAACGACATATTTAACTATAAGCAATTAAAACAAACCAGTCGAATTGCTAATTTTATGTTGTTCCATACACTCAGAGGCCAATTCTACGGTAGAGTCTACCATCTGATCTGGTTCTCTAACGATGACTAAAACACGAAAAACTTAACTGATAATCTGTTATGTAGGAGTTGCTTAAATGTATAAGTGAATTCAACACACACCACGTTTCAATGGAGAAATAGCCTGATTCGATTCTGTTGGTCCTTGATAAATACCATTAACAGGTATAGCGGTATTCTGTAAATAAGTAAAAAATATTAGTATTCAATTAAATATATGAATGAATTATTTTTCTAAATGTAATATTGACTTTAAATTTTTACGATGATTATTAAATTGAAGCTTTCATTCTGCTTAGATTAATAATTCTGCATTTTATGATTATTGCAGTTTTTTTTTTTTTAAATTGAATCTCAAACTAAACAATTCCAAACTAATTATTAATTCTTCATGTTATTGTACATAATTTCCTTAATACTGATTTTCTTTGTTAATTTGACATTTCTTTTTCATAAATGAATTATGTTTTTCCGTAAAGATAAGCTTCGAGCATTCATTCAATGTACAGTTCAATCTTAAAATACTACTACTTTTTATCCGAAGTATTTGAAATTTAATATAATACTGTATATTAAAAAATAAGATAAAAATAATAATATCCCCGGATTACTCGAAACTAAGTATGCAGATTTTGTACACATGCCTTAGCTATTTGAAGTTGAACAATAGCATGCTTAACAGAATTGAGCATAGCATTGGCTGGGCTTAGAATTTGTGTGTATCGCATCGTTTTATCGTCATTATCATTTTCAAAACTTTTCTGCTTTTGTTCAATGAATTTGATTTGGTCGATAAGAAGTTGGAGGTAAGCGTCGGCTTCCGCAACTTTGCGATCAAAGTCTTGTTTCGGTGGTGGTTTTCGTGGATTCCATCGCTGAAAATAAAAGAAATTTTTTTAATTGCCATCTTACTTATTGCATGCTTTTTATATTATATGTATCATAATTTTTAAATATTTATATTCATTGTATTATTAAATGACATTAGTCAATTTTTTTGTATGATAAGAGTCATATTTCTGTTTGATAATGCAATATAAGAAAACGGCTTATATATTTTTTGGTATCAAGCATAGTATAAGTTCAAATTAAACAAATTTAACGATTTATGTTATATTCTTAAAATAGCCTTAAAATCTAAGACATAACTTTAAACATCCATTTAAATGATATTTAAAATACTTATTTGTCAATTTGAATTAGTCTAAAATTAACAGAATAGAAAGACCCACAGGAACGTTAAAGGCAATATATTTTTTAATTTTTTTATAGTTCTTATATATATATATATATATATATATATATTAATATTATAGACGTAACTTTTTTATTTACACGCCGATTATATTTTCAATAATAAATTTATATATAATCATATACTGAATTTTAAAATTAACTTAAATATCTAATTATTAAAATGACTTTTACAACATAAATTGATAATTCATCGATATAATATAATATGGAATTTATGATGTAATATGTATATTTCACTTAACTATTTATATATTCAAAAAGTATTTCTAAAATTGAAGATAATCTAATATAAAAATAGACATTTTTTTTAAAGAATATATACAGCAATGAAAAATAAAATTTTATTATTAGAACTTATTACTAAATAAGCCAAATACTTATTACTAATTACTAAATCTAGCATTATTAATATGTGGAGTAGTAAAATTCAATTTTCTTAAAATACACTTATATTATAATGATTGGTATAATGAATGACATAAACTATTATTATTATAAATTTTTATGAATGTAGATTAAGAAAGTAAGATTTTGAATGAAAATAATTATGTTAATTTTATTTTAATTCATTTTGATTAGGCAACTTTGTCAATTTTCAACATTTATTAGGTTTAAAAAGCTAAATAGGAAAGAATTTAAAATAAATTTACATACTAAAAATTTAAATACTTTCATTTATTTTTGTATTGAACTTCTATTTCTAATATAAATAATATATAATATTCTACATTTTTAGTTAAGATGATAAATTATAAATATTTGTCAACTTGTTTCTAATTTGTTTTTTAAAACTTGTTTTGACACCGCGTAATATCTGGTGCCCTTCGTCATTAGATTAAACAGCATTAATAACTTTTTTTACATCAAAAGAAATGAAAAATATATGACATGTAAACAAGGTAGGTCGGTTTGCCAAGGCTTTCATTTCAAACGAACGTGCATAAAGTAAGCTTACTGTGTGTGAGTGCCGAAGTATCGTGTCCTCGAGGGCGCGTACCCAGCGTTCGCGTTCCTCACCATTGCGCGTCTGAAAGTGAAAGGTCTTGGGGTCGTCCTTGCTCGAGGAAGTCGTAATCGTGAAAGTGCTATCATCTTCGTCGTCGATGCCGATTACAGCGCCCTTCAGCCTTACACAGCCGCGACGCGCGCCTCTCATCATCTTCTCTTTGCTCTAAAATATATAAAAATTTTATATATATTTATATTATATTATAGTATATATATTTTTATCCCTTCATGGTATTATTAATTGTTACATTTATTTGCATGGATTTTGAAGTTAGCCATCTTTGCATTCGTGTACACAGTTGTAAATGTTCTTATATGAATATTTTCATATTTTACAATTTGTATGTTGATATGCGTATTGGTCGATTATGATTGGTCGGTAATAGATTGAAATTATGAAAAGTCTTTCCCTCAAATGCATATGATGCATACAATTTTAAATAATTGGTAATTCACTCTGTATATTAATTTTTAAAAAAATATTAAATTAATACGTAAACAGTATAGTAAACTAAATCAATTAAAATGGTGATTTATAAACTAATTTTTTGAGTATTATTTTTATATTTTTAATATATAATACATTGAATGATAAAAATACTACATTGAATATACTACATACATATACTACATTGAATAATAAAAATGAAAAGAGAAACATAATTTACGAAAATCATTACCAATTATCTATGAATGTTTCTAAGCTGATATATTTTATTCGAGTTAAACAACCAAAATAAATTTATAATTATCTAGAATAAATATATGTGAGAAGTAGTTGATATAATATAGAATTATGACAATGTTAATATATTAATTTCAATATCTCTTAAAACTAGTCATATTATTAGCATTTTTTATTAAAAAATATCATTACTGCAACTTTGATAACATTTCAGTTTGTAATCATTTTCTTTCATTTAAGTATAATAAATAATATACAACTTATATATTTTTGTATATGGAATAAAGGTATTATATAAGGAGTACAGGTTATTCTTTGAATAAAACATACATTTAATTGAATATTAGTCTTATTTTTGTATTTTTCTCAAAAATTAAATGTCATGTTCAAAAGCATTATACAAATACAATTTAACATGTATGAACTATTTATTAAGAGTCGTAATTATAAATATAACTATTCGAAATATGTTTATTTATTTATAAGTTAATTATACTTTGATCAAATATTGAAAAAAATAGAATTTTGCAAAGTAAGATATTGCAATTTTTGCCGAAATCTTTAATCTTTGATCGTGAACTATATTCAAAATATAAGTCACATAAGAAATAAACGAAAATTGTAGTTTCTATTTTATAATTTAAAAATTGTACTATTAAAAAATTAGAATTTCTTTGAAAAATGAATAAAATATATTATTATTGATATCATGATATATTTTATATTTATAATATTAAACATTTGCAACAAATAACATTTTATTTAACAGAATATCACTATTTGTATTTACGATTTATAGTTATTTAGTACATTATATAATTTTAATAAAAACTTTTTAATATCTATCAAATATTCAAAAATCAAATAAGTGTACAAAAAAAAACCATTAAAATTAACCTTCAAGGATTAGATATTTCGTAATATTTCAAATTTTGATTCATTATTATATAGTTACGTACAATATTGAATTTTACATGGTTTAAAATTATAGTAACTTGCCATAAATTATTGGAGTATAATATATAGTACTTTACATAAAATCATCATTATTCATTAGATTAAATAATTAATTTAAGTATGCATAATTTAAATAATTGACCAACTAATGAAATTACTGTATCGACTGAATTCTGTATGAAGTGTTTTATTATGGTTATCGATATCGCAATTTCAAATACGTATGTAAAAATTGAATTTACAATAAATTTACGATATTAATAATTTATTATTCGTTAAGAAATATTGTTAAATGCATGTAATAGTTAGTAAAGAAAATACAACTTAATAAAACAAGAGGACAAACGTTATGATTAATTTACTATTCTTTTTTCAAAGTTTGAAAATATTACTAAAATAGATAAATAATATATATAAGAATAATTATTAACATGAAATAATCAAAGTTAATTATAATTTAAATTTAATATTTATGAACACCCGGTTTTTAAAACTTTGTACAAAAAGATAAATAAATCTAAAATAGATCTAAAAGAACCTTATATACAATTTAACAAGAAATATAATTAAATGATATCTATGTTTATTACATCAGAAGATTTATTATTTTTACTTAAAATTTTTGGGAAGTTTTATGATCTCTATGAGAGAATTATAAGAGTGTATTATAAGAAATTTAAATAAATACTTATATATGGATTAGTAGTTTTTACAAAGAAAATAATATAAATCGTATTCTTTGATTATATTATATATAATTTAAAAATTATTATGATAGCAATAATTACCGTTTATAAACAGATTAATACTAAACATTTTTTTATATACTTTTGTGAATAATATGTATATATAAACACTTATAAGTACATGTACATGACGTTTTTATAGTCGGAAACTTACAGGAATAAATTATCGATTCTTGACATTTCTTTCAACCTTTCGAATTCATTATCATTTATAAATTAAATGTTATAATTCTCATAAAAATTTAAGATATTCAAATTGTACATTTTTCTTTATGAAAATAATTAATTTCTTTTTAAGTAATAAAATTATGAACGAACATTTCTTATTTAACATATATGTTAAAATATAAAAATAAGTAACAATTTTTTCTCATTATTTTCTCATTTCATAAATAAAATCATTGTAAAAAAATATTATTTTAATAAGCAATTTTCAGTATTTTTCTATTGTAAAGATTATTCTCAATATTATTTTACTTTATGCATATCAAATAATTATATCTATGATCAATGAATTTAAAAACAACATTTCTTAGTGAAAAATACAGTTTGAAATATAGATTTTTTTTTTATTACTTATTTGTTCTATTCTGACATCATACAATATTTCATAAATTGAGTAGATTTTGTATCGTATTGACCAATTACATATGGTAAGATATCTATAAAAGAATGGAATGAATATAAAATAGAAGTAGTTTCATTTTGTTTTTATAAATTAAACTTTATAACAATAATTATTATAAAAATTATAAATAAAAGAAAATGTTGATTTTAATTTTTTAAATTAGATATATATTCAAATAATAGTACCGAATCAGAATTTGATTACAAGTTATTTCTTCATCCATGACATGGACTAAGTCAACATAATCCTGTTGAAAGACTTTTTAGATACAAAAACTTTTGTTTAATACAATAAAACTGCTTTTCAACACTAAATTAATAACAAATTAATAATAAATATTTTTAAATAGTATTACAATTTGAAAAAAAATTACTTTGAATAACAATTACAGTTCACTTCTTCGAGATAATATGGAATTATTTTTGTTATTGTACTTTAATATAAATGTAGTGAACTGATTTAATTCGATTGTTTAAAATATGTTACTTTTTATTTATATACAACTATTTATTATCAATTGCATTGTTAAAATTTTAAAAAATTTACGAATAAAATGAATTTGAAAAAAAATCTATTAATTTAAAAAGGAAAACATTCCATCAATATAAGAATGATAAATTACATCATTATATCTCTGTTAAATTATTATAAAATTCTTTCTTAATGATAGACTCATCAATTATCAATACAATTTTTATGTAATTTATCCTTAAATAAACAAATTTAATGATTTGGCATATGATATAAAAATTAAAATTTGCAAATGAAGAAAAATGTTTTAAATTATTGACTACATTTATCTCAAGTTGGAATCAGTATTACTAAACTATTAACATCTCTTTAAAATAATTATTTAAAGCAAATTCACATTTGTTCATTTTATAACCAAATTTAATAATTATTAATAAAAAATTCATATAATTTTAAATTTGAATGAATGTAGAAATAGAAATGAGAATAGTTTCAATTTTTTGACTTTGGAACATAAAATAAAGATAATATCGAAAAACTTTCGATCCACAGAAAACGTACTGTTCTTTAACTTATTTAGTTTTTTCGAAAACAAAGAAAATTACCATGTTCACCTTTGAACTTTTGAAATTAAAAATAACACTTTATTTTCTTTTAAATTATTAACAAACATTTCCATGGTTTAATAATGTTATTCATATCTAATGCGATCAAAATATTATTGAGACTCTAGTTTCTTAGCACATTTACTGAAATATTTTAATAATGCATTATAAACATTTATTTTTAATAGATTTTACAAAAATTTAATCAAAAGCCTAATAAATATAGAAAAAATAAAATTGTAAAAATCGCCGTTAATTAAATATTTATGTATATTAGCTAAAAGGTATTTTTGTTGAATGAAAAAGTAATTCCTTAGTTTTTTACTCATATTTTTAATATAAAATTACTTTAATTTATTAAAATTGTGTTTTGAAAAAAATTATTAAACAAAATCAAAATGGAATATAAATAGTAAAAACTAGTTAAATAACTATGAATTTAGAATACATGGTTTTTATTGAGAATAACTATGTCATTTTTTAATCAATCTTGTTAGAATTTTCATATTTACTAATTTTTTTTTTATAAATTCTGTAGACAAAGACCCAATAAAAGGCATTTACATTTTGCATCCAGCTAGCAGGTGATACATTAATAATTAATTATTTATGTCCTCTTTTTCGTCATAAATGAATAAATAGTTTTGTTTTCTAGAATAAAACAATATTATGAAAGCACTTTATTGATATATTTTATTTTCAAAATTTTTCTAAAAATAAAACATCTTAAATTTTTGAAAATTAAAAATTTTATATTCAACTTTGAAATTGAAAAAAATATTATTAAGTAAGAGTAAAATAAAATTCATTAAACTTTTCACTTATAAGCTCATTGGACACAATGCATAATTGTATGTAGTATCATATGTACCACCAATAACTCTATTAAGTATGTATGCATTATAGCGAAATCGGAGATGACGATTTTAAGACTCAATTTTAAGAATTCATTCAACAAAACTTGCCAACTATAAATTTTTTTAACAATACATACACGTATAATGTATGTCCACATTGAGTACGAACTCGTGAAAGGTCAAGAGTTAAAGTTCGATTGTGCATGCAGTAGTG